TTTATTAAATAATAAATAATAAATAAATAACAATTAAGTAGTAGTTTTTTTTTGTTACATGAATTCTTCTCGTTTGATTTATGAATTATTGCATGACTACTTATAAATTTAAACCTCTATAAATTAATACAGTTGTGACCGATTAAATTCTATTAATTTAGCAGAATATTAATTTAACGGTATATATTTTTAATATATTGTCCTCAAGTTGGGATCGAAAAAAAATATTAATTAAACGAGGTTATTAATTTATTGAGACTCTATTTATATAATTATGGATTACTTGAAAATAAAATGTTGTTTTAAATATATATTTAATCCTCTTGGTTGCAAAATCGAATTATATATCAAATTTTAAAAACTTGAAAATGAAGCTATAAAAATATTATAAATAAACAAATAACAACCCTAGGGGCCTATTTTGGCTTTTTTTTGTACTGCGGGGGGTATATCGGTCATTTCACTATTGAGGGGACCAGCACAAGTCAGCTATTTTTCCTCTCCTCTCTCTCTCTCTTCACTCAGTGGCGTGGGTGTAGTGTGTGCACTGTGAATATTCAGTGATACTTACAGATATATATATGTATGTATACATTTCTCTCAGAACATCCTTCCGTCTTTCTCTCTCTCCCCATCCTCCATCAAAAACCATAATCAGAAACTGTATTAAACTAGAGAGAGAAAATTACTCAGATTTTTCATTTCTCATTTTATTCTTCTATTTTTCTTCTATTTTTCTACCTCTGGTCACCCCAAGATAAAACTCATTCACTGTGTGCGTTTTCTCTCTCTTCTAAATCATTGCCGATATAAAATAAAAAGGTAAAATCTTTAGCTCGGATTTCATGTTCTTCCGCCCTGTTTCTGATCGAACTCAGAAATAACTGTTGATTCGTTGCAGAATCAAAGAAGTGCTGTTCATCCTCATGCATTTATGTATGAAGATGTACGTGGATATACGTCGTTTTGGCTGTATCGCTTGGATTTAGGGTTTATATAGGAGATCTTCATCTTCAAAATCGTCGTCCTTCTTTTTTATGGCTTTTTCCATATAAAAAAAAAAAAGGATTTTGAGAACTGGAATAACAGATCATCTTCATCTTTTTATCTTCGATCTTTAATTTTTTCCAATTTTTTTTTGTCTGGTTAAATTAGTGAAGCTGGCCCCTAGTTTTTGGATTTTTCTCTGGGGTTTGAGTGGAGGTCAAAAACTCAAACCCCTAAAACAATATTCCAGGTACAGATTTTCCAGAACTTTTTCAGCATCTGCATGTGTAGAGTACTTATTTTTAATTTGTATAGCTAGGGCATAATTATGAATTTCCAGGTTTTGTTGTCCCCTTTGATTTCTATATTCGTGCAATCCCCTTTCTGTTTTACAGCCGCAATATTTACTTCTTTCTATTCCTGGAAACCTTTCGTTTTCACATCACATTTCTCCATTTTTTTTCTCGAAAACTCCATTAGAACTCCCAGTTAATTCCTCCCCCTCTTTTTCTTGGTTCATTTAGTTTTACATCGTTTCAATCTCTTTTCGCAGATACAGATCTTTTGCTGATGGAAACCTATTACAGAAAACGCTCCAAGAAAGCCCAGCAACCGACCATGGTTGCCTCTCTCTCTCTCTCTCTCTCTCTCTCTCTCTCTCTCACACACACACACACACACACACACACACACACACAAACACGTCAATTTTGAGGGCACGGTTTTGCAGCAGAAATGCCAATGGCATCTGTTATTATTGTCTGACATACGTGTAACAATGTCTCACGCGCTCTCAGGGGTTGTTGTCGCTAATATTAGTGAGATTAAACCCCACGCGGTGATTGAAGCGTCTTGTTTTGCCATGTTACTGTGTGTGTGTGTTTTTTTTTGCTGTCACTAACATACAAAAACAAAATCTTTTTTTTCATAATGATGCTTGCAAAACAGCATGGTGAAAGCTAATTAATGTAAACTTAGAATTATTCATTTAGTTTACTTCCTTTTTAGAGAGACTTCGAAATTTTTTTGAACCCCTTAAAATCCATTCTTCACCAGATTTGTGCACACACACACGCGCGCGCACGCGCGTATATATATATATATATATATATATATATATATATATATATATATATATATATATATATATATATATATATATATATATATATATATATATATATATATATATATATATATATATATATATATATATATATATATATATATATATATATATATATATATATATATATATATATATATATATATATATATATATATATATATATATATATATATATATATATATATCTCTCCTATTCTTCCGTTTGCAGGTATCAATACTCACTCCTATTCTTCCGTTTTATACTTACAATCATAATCGAGTTTCAAAATAATGGAGAATTATATACATATATATAAACCCATTTCTCGTTTCTGAACCCAGAAACAGAAGGTAAAACCCAGATGCAAAAACACATCAAACTGGGCTATCTGTACGAGATCGATCACACTCAGTTACCCCCAAGAACCCCCGTTCAACTCAGGTCCATCCGAGTTGCCATGGTAAGAAAATTCCACCCAAAATTAAATCCCGGAAATATTAACCAGTTTCTCTTCTGTTTTTTTTTTTTTTTTTCCTCAACGATTTATCTAATGGGTCTTTTGAATTTGTTCGGAATTTTAGGTGTGCGAGATGACAGAATTGAACGTTTCAGTGAGGTTCCCAAGCATGGAGTCACTTAGGGCATTTTTCAACTACAGCTCAAGAGAAACTCACCCTGCTTTGGACGAGAAGTTTGTGATGGGTTCCACTTTAGCAGACAGAGTGCTGATTCGATTAGTTCCGTCGGAGATTTTTTCCGAGCAGAAGAGTTTAGTTGCGTTCTGGTTGATCGGTTCTTCAGCTGCTCCTGATTGGTGTACGGATAATGTTTCTGTTGGGCATAATAATAATAAGGGAACTTATTTGTCTGAGGCACTGAAAGCAAATGGGATTGTTAGATGGGGAATAAGAAGGCAAGTTAAGTATTTGGGCAGGCATAAGGATAGTGATAATGGGAATGATGTTAATGGCCAGAATAACTCATCTTCAAGCTTTGTTAATGGAGTTGAGGAATCACAGATGGGGTTAATGGTTAATTGTGAAGAAGAGAAGTTGGATGGAGGTGATGGTAGTGAAGAGATTGGTGATGATGATGATGGTGGTGCAGAAAGTGATGCAGAGAGTGAAGAGAAGGGTGAGGGAGATGGAGAAGATGAAGATGAAGAAGATGAAGAGGAAGAAGAAGAAGAAGAAGAAGAGGAGGAGGAGGAAGAAGAGGAAGAAGAAGAAGAGAAGAAGATTAAGGTGAGTAATGAGAATTTGAAAAGAAAGAGATACCCTTTAAGAAACAAGGGTGGTGTGAAGAAACCAAAGATTGAAAAGATTGATGTCAAGAAAGAAAAGCAAAAGAAGAAGAAGAAGAAGATGAAGAAGAATCAGAAGAAGAAAAGCATGGGTAGAAGTAGATTCAAGGAAGCACTTGTTCTTAGAGATCCGAAAGATCGTTGGTCTGCTGAAAGGTAACAATTCTATAACAATTAGTGAATTACTAGCTAATTAATGATTTTAGTATGTTTTGTGTATGTTTTGTTAAGTGTGTAGAGTCTAACTGGGAAAATGTGTTTAGGTACAAGCTAGCTGAGCAGAATCTATTGGCGGTGATGAAGTCAAAAGAGGCAACCGCAGAAAAGCCGATTCTGAGGCCTCAACTGAGGGCAGAGGCAAGGAAGAAGATAGGTGACACTGGGCTACTTGATCATCTACTGAAACATATGGCCGGAAAGATTGCCCCTGGCGGTGAAGAGCGGTTCAGGAGGCGGCACAACCCCGACGGAGCAATGGAGTATTGGCTCGAAAATGCTGATCTTGTTAGCATCAGAAGGGATGCAGGGGTGGCTGATCCTTATTGGGTCCCACCACTTGGTTGGAAGCTTGGTGATTCCCCTACTCAGGATCCTATTTGTGCTAGGGAGTTGAAGTTATTGAAAGATGATGTTTCCAAAATTAAAAGGTCAGTCAATAATTTCACAATTATCTTTAATTAGTTTTATTTGTTTTTACACCAGACTAATATTTGGTTTGTTAACAGGGATTTGGAGGTGATGGTTACAAAAATGCAATTGGAGGAAGAAGTTGGCAAGTTAAAGAGGTGATAATAGTTAAAGAATGCATTATCCATTTCTTTTCTTTTTAATTTAGCCTTTAATTATTAATACTAATGATTATAATTACATGGAATTAATTGCAGGGAGCTTGAGGAATTATCTTCTAAAAAAAGGGAAGAAGAAAGTCAAGCAATCACAATAACTACAAGTCGTTCTGACATCAGTCAAAAGCTGGATCAGCTTGCCACTTCATTGGTCTCCTCAAAAAGTGATTTTGTGAATGCACATGTTTCAGTGGTATAGCTAATTCAAATCTTTATTACTAGTTTCCAGGGATTTTTTCTTTTTCTTTTTTTGAATCATTAAATTGTGGTTGGATCAATGTAATAAATTGTTCATTATTGACATGATCTTTTTCAGGAAAAGTACAAGGAACAGCTGATGGCCATCTCTGATTTTGTGAAAGAAATAGAGGTAGTAATTAAATTAAATTCATAACTACAACCATTAATGCTTAGGGAGTTAATTAAATGAATGATTAGGAGTTAATGCTTTGAAGTAAATAAACTTTGCTTTATTACAAAATGGCTTGATGCTGAAATTGCATGGTAATGGAAAAAATCAAAACAGGGGAAAATAGGAAAGGTGACACCAAATGTGGAAGAAAGGGCAATGGTGGTGGTGTCTTCATTAAATGCAGAAGCAGAAATGCATTCAAAAGAGAAGAGCTCAGTGGCAAAAGAGTCAAAGAGCAAAGAACAGGAAGTACAAGCATTAAATGCTACAATATTATCAGATGAGAACAAAACAGCAGAAAAAGAAAAGACAGCAGCTGAGGAAAAAGCAGCAAGATTGCAGAGGTTGAAGAGTGGTTTCAGAATCTGCAAACCACAGGGCACTTTCCTTTGGCCAAACATGGTCAACAACGGCACGCCGCCGTCGGTTTCCTCCTCCACCGCCTCAGCTCCGCCGCAGCTGCCTTTCCACCACCCAGCCTCCCTTGTCAAGCCATTGGCTGAGAAACGTGCCGTGGCGGTAACCGTCTCCGCGGTATCTAAAGGCACAAATTATGAGGATGGTTCCAACAACTACTCCACCACCACTACTGCTTTAATCAACCTAAATGATCTCCCAACCAATCAAACTATCATGCCAATGGTGAGCAATATTTTTTGTTTGGTCAAGATTAACTTTTTATTAGTGTCTGGTTTAAATCTTTCTAAAGGGTTTCTTTTTCTTAATAAATCTTTTTTTTTTTTTTTTTTTTTGGTGGTTTGTGGATGAAGCTGTCACCTAGTGGTGTATATGGATCAAGAAATTTGATTGGCTACAGTCAGAAGGAATACAATACTGGGAGCTGCTCCTCGATTACGAGCCTGCCTTGTGAAGTGGGGAACTGGTTGGCATTGTCTACTCCGAAATCTGCCACCGATGAGTCGAGCCGTGGTTGAACTCCTTTTCATTCGTATTATGAAAACTAATATATTTTTTTCGCATGCTAATGAAAGGTTTCTTGAGTGGGTATTATAAGGCCTCAAAGAATTTAATCGGTGTTATATTCCTCTGATCTTGAACATGTTCAGATCACCTATTTCTGATATTAGGAGATGTTATATGTATGTTATGTTTTTGCTTAGACAAAAGTTAACTATGGTGGAGTCTTGAATATTTTATATCACAAATAAGCAATTATTTTTTACTACATTAGAGTAACTTTACCTAGAAGATGGGTATTAAATCTACTTAGAAGACTTGTGTGGTTCTTAAAAATGCAAAAAATGCAGTACATGTCGAAATCTGAACAAAAACGGATATAAAAATCGAAACAACTACAGGAATAGAGAAGGCTAAAGCTTGGAGTAGCAATTGCTGTTGAATACTTGAATTTTCTGAAAATCGACACACTGAGACAGTGCATTTGTCAGCTTTTTCAAATCGTCTTTAGTATGTGCTGCACTCAGAGTTACCCTTAACCTGAAACGAAGCGAAAAAAAATATTAATCGTCTAATCTAAATCCTTGCCAAACTCATAGATCAAAGTCTTAAGTGTGACTAAGAATTAGGAAACAAGTAAACCAATAAAAAGAAACATGACAACTCATCACATGATTACAATGTAGAGCTACTAATTTCGAGTTTGACAGAGACCTGCATGAGTGTGCCGGGACTGTTGGAGGTCTAATTGCAGTGATGTGAAAACCTAATTTTAAGAGATGCCTGTGCACAAAGATTAAGACGTTAGATTATACAAAGACAAATATAAACGCGCATACATAGAGGAGAGGGGTGGGGGTGGCGGGTTAAGGTACCGGCTAGCTTGTAGGGCCTTGTTTTCACTCCCAACAATGAGGGAAATGATGTGACTTTCAACCGGAAATCCGGTCAAATCACGGAATTCTTGCACGCGTTTCCATATAGCACTCCTACGCCATGTCTCATTCTTTGCCACGTTAACAGCAGCTGCAAAAGTAAGACAAATATAATGAAGATACGTTTTCCTCACAACTAAAGTAATTAATAATCCAACATAATATAGAAATATTTAAATAAATAAAACTAACCGTGGGCAGCAGCAGCAACAGGCACTGGTGAAGAAGTTGAAAATATAAAAGACCGACCCCTGGATTGGATGAGCAGCTTCCATTTCTTGCTGTCATCCATATAAGTGGGAAGAAATTAGGTTTATTTAGCAAAAGTATTTCTTATACTCCTTGTTATCACAGTCGATTCAGATAGCACAACCAACCAATTATCTTGCTATCCAATTATTTAAGTGAAAAGAATAAATTTTAAGCTTCATTAGTGCGAGTTATGTAGCACGGACTGTCGTACAAGCAAAGAATTGAGTCCAAAACAGTGGAAACTCGATATTTTAAATGAGGCGTAAAACTCGATTTTTCACACTTTTACCTGCATGCAATGAATCCACCATGGCAACCTGCGGCTTTACTTAGAGTCCCTATGCAAATGTCCACATCAGCTTCACAGTTGAACATTTCAGCTGCACCACCGCCATTTTTTCCACAAACAAATGTTGCATGAGCCTATAGATTCAGAGGGGAACAAAGAAGAGGGTTTTACAATTACCTTCTCATAGTTCTTCGAATTGAAAATTCAGAAACTTACATCATCAATTACAAACAGAAACCCATGCTTCTTACGAAGTTTTACAAGCTCAGTCATAGGTGCAAAGTCCCCATCCATGCTAAACAGGCTGGCAAAATTAAGAAAAATGAGTACACCGTGTTTAATGATGTTATAATCAAAGGCAGGATCGAGGAATAAGAAACATTTACATATCAAAGAATAGAGGGGTACGTCATACGACGGAATGGGGCTATGTGGATGCATGATCAGAGAATGCATGATGAACGGGAATTTTAAAATTGAGATCAACGTTAAAATGACTAACCTATCAGTTACAACAACTCTTTTCTTCATTGGACAACTTGACCTGGTATTAATCCATTAAACAGTAAAAGCATACAGATTAGCTTAAGAGAAGAGAAGACGAGGCCAATGACTTGAAAGAGAGAAAAAAAGGCCTACAATAATGCATCGAGATGGCACATATCGGCATGCCTGTACACAAAAGCCACAGCATTTCCTTGTCTCTCAGCAAGGCGAATACCATCAATTATTGATGCATGGTTCAGAGCATCAGAAAATATAGCAACTCTATCGTCTTTTGACGGTTTGCCGCCAGCCACGAGCAAACCAACGTTACCGACAGCTGTCATGAAGGCCATGTTGGCTGAAAAGCCTGTTGGACAAAGAAGGCAATCCTAATATTTAACATTAGAACAACGACCAATCAGTTTTTCAAGAATTAACAATACCCTGTCATTCCGCACAAAAGATGCTGATGAAGATCAAGTACATTCAAAAAAACAGAAATTAAAACGAAAAACAAATCTTTACTGCCTGCCCCTTTTGATGTAAAAGTATAGTTACTTGAGCAGATTTACATAATCCCCTACTCAACAATCTAGCAGCTTATTTGGAACCAAGAGTAGGGAACTCATCGAACATTGAAAACTCTCGACAGATACTATCTGATTAAAGTTAGAAAATTGTACTAACCTCTTTTCGTTTAAGGTCGGCCAATGATGATTCAAGCAGCCTATGGTAAGTAGTGTACCCACAGATCAAAGCAGAACCTCTTGGACCCATTCCGTGTTCTTGAGCTGCCTACATAATCATCACACTTTGTATAAATAAATATTCACAGCTGCAGAGCAATAACAATGCCAAGACTCGGTTAAAAAAAAAGCGAAATTTAATGGATTGCTAGCGAAAATTCGGTAACATGCCTCGATAGCTGCATTGCTAACCATTGGATGTGAACTCAGTCCCAAGTAATCATTACCAGAGAAGACGATTAACTTCCTAAGCTTTCCGTCGATTGCCTCTGCTTTATCGTCGGCTCTTACAACCTCGTCTACGACATCATTGTCATCCCCTATAATTTCAACATTTGTTCTTTCAATATCCATTCTAAGTATTTCTACACATGAATTCTTTAATTTCTTAAAGCTGAACTTTATTTCCCCAAAAAATTAGCCCAGTGCAAAACTAATGCCAATTTTACCAATTTAGTGGGAAAAAAATTAAATTAAAGAAAGATATAAAACAGACACACACACACACACACACGACAGACAAAAGGGGGTAGGAGAAACAAATTGAATTGCACCTGAACTGGGGACATCGTGTAGCCATTTCCGGAAAGTGGATTCTGAAATCTCCACCTCAACAGAAGCTCGGTCCCATTTGTTTGGGCCATCAAAAACTCGATTGAGATTCGACGGAGAATTTTCGGCGGAGGTGGAGCGACGAGCAGCTCCGGCGAGGAGGTGAATGGGTCTGAGGGAGCGCAATACATTGAGCGATTGGAGTTTGGAGAGGGCTTCTTCTACCCAAAAGTCCCACGCGCCGCCATTCACCTCCATTTTCACGCAGCAGAAAGTGAAAAGGTTTTGCTTTATTGCATTTGCAGAGGGGTTGGCCTGCAACGGTAAAGGTCACGTGAGGGGGGAAATTTTACATATTAACAATTTGGGTAATTTACACAATGCACCCTTAAATTTAAAATAATATCCGAATGCACCCTTCAATTTATATTTTCTTGGCAAAGTGAACCCTAGTGCAATTTCCGGCTGAAAATGTCACCGGAAACATGATTTTTTGACTTTTTTTTTTTAATTCAATTTAATAAATAAAAATTTATAATTATTAATTTATTATAGTTTCATAAATATCTAATTATAATTGAAGAAAGAGAAGCTAAATCAAGTCAAATTAATTTCGCACAAAAAAAAGAAAAACCCAAACTCTGCACAAAGTGTAAAGCTGCACGCACCTCTCTGCAATTCCTCCGATCCCGTCCGTGGAAATTCCACCGGAAAATCTCGATTCCGGCGAGAGATGGTGCTTTCGCAGAAAATTCATGAGGCGTTCAAGGGGACGGTGGAGCGAATGACCAGCCCCCGCACCGTATCCGCCTTCAAAGAGAAAGGCGTCCTCAGCATCAACGAGTTTATCCTCGCCGGAGATAATCTCGTCTCCAAGTGCCCTACCTGGTCTTGGTAAATCTCCCAATCGCTTTTCCTTTTTTTTTTCGCCCTAATTACAGCTCCTCCGTGTTTCTTTTACCGTCATCTTTGTGTGGACTATGGAGCTAATTATGGATTATTGATTCAAAATTATGATCAATATTTCAGTTTAATATATGCTAGGAATGAAATTTCGGAGGGTTTATCAATGCAGAAAGCTTGTTTTAATTGTTCTTAAGAATCCTGTATAATCCCCAATTGATTTCCGTGATTTTTCGGTATATAGTTATTTTGGTTTATAGCTCCCAGTGTTCAGTTTCAGATACCACAATGTTGGGAGGCTTGTTGTATTCGTTCAGTGTAGACAATTTGGATTCGTTATTTGATCCTGATCCCATTGGGAGGAACAGATTTTGATGTAGTGATAGTTGTCTCTTTCTCCATATTTTCGATGATGGTTTACTCCTTGTCATTTTGGCGCTTGCTGTTTGATTGTTGTCTTATTGGGTTTTTTTCCGTGTGTAAAGGGAATCAGGTGAGCCTAGCAAAAGGAAGTCATATTTACCACAAGATAAGCAATTCTTGATGACTAGGAACGGTAAGTGGCTTCCTTGTATCCAGAAAATTGCTAGGATAGCTTCAGAGTATGTTGCTATAATTCCTATATGCTTTTTCTGATGTGCTGATATTGTGTTTATACATTATGTCGACTAAATACTGAACTTTAGATTACCCGAAGCATTTTCTATCATACATACCCAAACAATATAATGTGGAGAACTAAATTTTGACAAAAACTGAGTTTCTTGAATGAACTGTAGAATATAAATAACAACCTTCAAGATTTCCTATTCGATTGTTTCATTTTACTCGCTATGGTGTTATTGTGCAGTTTATGTTATTTATTTCTTTTTAATCTTTCTTATCATGTTTTTCACATGCAGTCCCCTGTCTCCGTAGAGCTGCCTCAATTGAAGAAGAATATGAGGCTGCAGGAGGTGAAGTTTTACTTGATAATGAGGATAATGATGGTTGGCTGGCTACTCATGGAAAACCTAAAGGTATGCAGTTCGTTTGTTCTTTAGAGTTACGACATTTGTTTATTTAAATAGTTGCTTTATTATTGTTGCTTGGCTTCATACTTCTCTTGCATCTAGAAAACAAAAATGACGAGGATGAAAATTTACCCTCCATGGAGACTCTAGAAATCAGCAAGAAGGAGACAATCCAGTCAATCCCATCTTACTTCGGAGAGGAGGAAGAGGAGGATATTCCAGACATGGCAGAATTTGAAGATGCAGACAACCTTATTGAAAATGATCCTGTAAGTTACAGACTCCGATGTAGCCAAAACTTCATTTTTTTAAAGATCAACTGTTATACCTCTAATGAAAACAAGAAGGAATAGACAGATCAAAGTTTGATGCGGTTTTGTGTGTATTTGCATGCTCCTTTTGTTCATAAGCAATAGCAGCTTATTGTCAGTGTATTTTCAATTTTTGGTCATAAATGCAGGCAACACTTCAGACTACATATCTCGTGGCTCAGGAACCTGATGACGATAACATTCTGCGAACCAGGACATATGATGTCAGCATCACGTAAGCCAAATTTAATCTTGAAAAATATTCGTAACTGGTTAAGTCTATAGCACCATGTCTGACAATCTCCCTCTATTAGGTATGACAAATATTACCAAACGCCTCGAGTCTGGCTCACTGGATATGACGAGGTCAGAAATTGAAGTTTTATTGCACATTTCATTTCTCAGTTTGGTTGGATGATATGCACATGCAAACCGTTCGTGTTGTGATCCTGATATGGCATTTTATTTTCATTAAATAATTTTATCGTTGTTACTTGTGACAACAGTCAAGGATGCTTTTGCAACCAGAACTTGTTCTTGAAGACGTTAGTCAAGACCATGCACGCAAAACGGTGAGATATTGTTTCAGCATTTCTGGGCGCCGGTTCTCAACATTTGAATTTATTTTTACTAAGACTATCTTATAATCTAGCTGGCTTGTTCTAAGATTTTATTATTCAAATTCAAGAATCTCATAGATGAAGGATGGGTGTTAGTTCTTAATATTTATGACAATGGCACTTCTCTGATTATGTACCCACGACTGGTGTTTCTTCACATTGACATCAGGTTACGATTGAAGACCATCCGCACTTGCCTGGCAAACACGCTTCTGTACATCCATGCCGCCATGGCGCTGTAATGAAAAAAATCATTGATGTTTTAATGTCACGTGGAGTAGAGCCCGAAGTTGACAAGTAATTCCTTTAGTTGAAAGCATATTTTTTTCTCCTTGTGCACGCACATCTTACTCAATACTGGTCTAGTATGGTCAATGTATACTTTGCTAAATCAGAGTTTGTAGTTCGAATTTCTCTCTATTTTCAGATATCCCTCTGCAATATTTACATTTCTTCTATCGTATCATTTATTTTTTTGATTCTTTTTTCTTTTCCGCAGGTACCTCTTCTTGTTCTTGAAATTTGTGGCGTCTGTTATCCCTACCATAGAATATGATTACACAATGGACTTTGATCTCGGTAGCTCTAGCTCCTGATTTCAAGGTAAAGTTTGTTATTAAAAGAAAATGGGGCTCAAATATATATCAATTGTATCATGCTCATGTGGCTCGTTTCGTTATTAACTTAGCACTCTTTTTTTCGTAACTATCCATTTTTGTTTTCTGCTTCTTGCAGATTGATTCTGGCAAAGCAATTGTCATAAAATGTCGAAAAGCTGTTACTCCTACGGTGAAACTTCTCTGATACTCGTGCTTCAAATTGTCATTCCTTGTATATTACATTACATATGATATCTCTATAAGAATGATGTACACTAATGAACTTGCTTGAAGGTTTGCTTACGTCATACCTACTATCTGTATCATAATTTTTTTTCTTCTTTATTTGGCTATTTTCAACTTTGTTTCTGCTCTTTTATAACATTGTTTTCTTGCTTCTGTCTTGTTCATATGAAATTGTAATAAAAATAAATAAAATAAAATAAAAAGTATTTCACAAAGTGAAATGACAAGCTAACCCCCCACAGGGCAATTGAATATGCATATATAGGAGAGATCTGACTCCCACGTAGTTTTTATCGTGGCCATTTTCTTCCTATTTAAATATAGGCAACTTCAATTTTTTTAAAGTCTTGACTTTATAAATTTTAGATCCAGGCTTTAAATTAAATTAAATGGGACAACGTCACACGTAGTTAATTAATCAGACAGTTAAATACCAATAAAATAATATTCATATTATACTATATCAAATTAATGGCAAAAAAGTTGTCTCTTCAGTGCATGAGGCTGCTATAAATATATATATACAACCAGAGTTGATATATACAGAATCCTGTATTAAGTATTTGGGTAAACAAGAAAAAGGATAAAAATGGTGAGTGGTCGGTTCTTCCTCTTCATCTCACTAGTTGTGATTGCTTCTCTTTCTCTCTCTTCCTCAGCTGCCTCTCCTGTAAGTCCAACTTTCTCCATCTTCTCTATATTTATATTTATATATAAATGAAATGTTTATCTCTCTGTGTGTGTATAGCTTATTAGTTATATCTATGCAATCCTTTGTCTTCATGAATATTCTTCATCTCTTTGGATCTATAATTTCATATGGAATTTTTTTTTATTTTTTTTTTATTTCCATCAAATTCACTTATGGATCTAGATCAATGGGACCTTAAAATACAATAAATTAAGCAATTTCTTGAAATCGTTTGGTTACATGGATTGGAACAATTTGGATTATGATGGATTGTATTCGATTTAGATCTACTGCTAGAATTGTTATAATTTTATATTCAATTTGATTTTTTTTTTTAATAACATCACTAATTAATTTAATAATAATAATTAGATTTTAATTTATGGTATTTTAGGAAGAAGGTGTCGTTTTCGATAATAGCATTTAGTTGACGACTTTAGTTCTTATTTCGGACTCGTAATTTTCTCAAATAAGTACGTTACTAGCTCCTACTATTTATAGTTAATCGAACTTAATTATAATAAGACTTTAATAACTCCATCATAATCATCTTTTTTTATGAATAGATAAATAAATAAATAAAATCTAATCTTTTTATATTTTTTTTCATCTAATTCCGAATTTGCAGAATGAATGCGTATACAGTTTCTTCATTCAAACCGGTTCGATCATCGGGGCCGGAACAGACTCCAACATCACCGTCACATTCGGTGATTCCGCCGGAAAATCTATTCGGGTCAGGAATATAGAAAACTGGGGCGTAATGGGCAAAACACACGACTACTTCGAGAGGGGAAGCCTCGATATATTCACGGGCCGGGCCCCGTGTATCGGATCCCCCATTTGCAAGCTCAATGTGACTTCTAACGGGTCGGGTCCCCATCATGGTTGGTACTGTGAGTATGTCCACGTCAGCTCCACTGGGCCCCACACTAACTGCAGCCAGTCGGTATTCCACGTGGACCAATGGTTGGCCTCAGATGTTTCACCCTACAAATTGTCCGCCGTTCTTGATGGGTGCTCCAAGAAAGCCCAATTGGAAAGTGGGCCTTTTGTAGTCAGAAAGCCCATTACTTCTACTTCCGAGTGATTTTAATTTTTGTGTGAAAATTGTGTGTCTATGTGTGTGTGTGTGTGTGAGAGAGAGAGAGAGAGAGAGTTTTCTTGAGGTTTTGATCATGTTTTCATTTTTTATTACAAAAAACCCCTTGGATGATTACAACTACTCGCAAGTCGCAACTATAAATTTTCTTACACGTTCATTATTACGATGTCAAATTCAATATAATATTTTAGATTCCGCGGAATGTTATCTTGATTATACTCGTTTTATACAGTTCTAATGCACCACAGTTTGATATATACAAGCAAAAAAACACATTTTATGACTATCTTGCTTTAAAATGTGAAGCTCGAATGGGATTAAAATGGGTACAAAATTAAGAATATTATGTATAAATCTAGAAGATTCCATTAAATTTGATATGGCAAGGTTGGACGTATAAGAAGATTTATAGTTGAGGGTAGTTATAATTACCCCAAAATAATGAGTTTTTTTGTAATTTGCCAATACCTTAGGGGTGTGGTTGTAATTTACCCTAAAATATAATTATCTATATATAGAAAAGGCTTTAAAGGAATCAAACCAAAGGGGGGAAAACGACTAGGGTTTCGAGAGAGGCAAATCTAGAGAGAGAGAGGCTTGCGGTATGATGAAAGGGTCGGAATTGCGACGGAAAAGGAACGGCGGGAGGCACCAACGTGGAGGTGGTTGCAGCCTCTGGTTTCGTGACGGAGATCGCAGCCGCAGCCGCAGCCGCAGCCGCTGTCATCCTTTCCAAATCAAAGAGACGGGAGATGCTGCCGCATTAGCTGTTCATCTCTACAACAAAACACATGTATCTCTCTCTCGCTCTCTCTCTTAAAAATTAAATTGTTGTTTTTCATGCTCTGTCTGAATGCTACTAATTATTTAATTAATTAACGATTGATTCATTCATCAATAATCGCTTCTTATCTTATTAATCTGTATATATATATATATATATGTGTGTGTGTGTGTGTGTAGCTCAACAAATACAGTGTAGTGGAAGTGCTGAGTGCAGCTGAAGTAGGACTTATACTGAATATAATTTTTACCGCTAAGCCTGAGCCTGAGGAGGAGGAGGATTCTGCTTTTGATGATAATGAGTATCCCATATATTTTCGAGCTTCCGTTAACAACCTTTATACGTGTGTTGAGTATGTTGAAATTGTCCGTGATGCTCACCTGCACGCTCTCGATTATAAGTAAATCCACCTTTATTTTTCATTCTGCTTTATTTTCTTCTTTTAATTATAATTCTACAATTTTTTATTTATATACATATATATATATATACAATAATGTCTAGTCTTCCGAAGAAGAAGGAGCCTGTAGATATGTTTCGAGATGGCCCTGTCTTGTACGGCCCGGCCCAGATTGCACCACCTGCTGTGATGATGAAACGAAGAATATTCTCAACGAATCTACCGATTTAGCTCTTCAAGTCCGCAACAATACCCATGTATGTATCTTCTTCAAAATAAATGAATCATTAGTAATAATAATAATAATAGCCTCTTCTTTTAATTTATTATGGGTGTGTATATAATATATATATATATATATATATATACATATGTTGTGTGTAGATTAAAAAATACAATTTGCCGGTTCTGGTGAGTGCAACTGGACATATATCCGGACATATATCCACAGACTCTAACTCTAAGGTGGATTTGATGTTTACCGCCGAGCCTGATCCTTTGCTGGAAGACAGTGATGCGAAACCGAGAACTTTTCGAGCTCGGGTTTTCTTCCTACACAAGTATGTAGAGTTTGTTGGTCTCCTCCCTCCTACCAACCTCACCTGCTAATAATAGGTAATCGATTTTTCATTTTGCTTTTCTCAACCAAAGTTTCTTACTCTTCATATACCTATGTACATTTTAATGAATAGAGAATCCTTAACTTCTTCTAAGACCACCATCAAGAAATCTATTGTCTGAAACTGATGATTGATTGCTCTGATAATCTTTTGTTTGGTTTGATTTTATTCTGTCTTGGAATGTTAATTTTTCATACTTTCATAGAAAATTGCACCATAAGACATGTTAAATATGTGTTAGTGAAAAATGTGTATAGAAAATTGCACCATACGATGTATCATGTATGTCTTAGTAAAAAGTGTGTTAGCAAAAAGCTTACTTTGACCATCGTAATTTAATTACATACAGATAATATAATATAATTATACTAACCAAATATTAAGTTGCAATTCTTAATTATTGTAGCTCTTAGTTGGATTGATCAGTTTTACAGGGTTATTTCTCATAAATAAGAGAATTTTGAAACTTTGTGTTTTGACACTACCATTAAATTAGAATGTAGTTAGAATAAGATTCAACTATTGGATAAAAATTGATTTGCCTAAACATATAACATCGTCAGTATATATAAGCCAATTTGATTAATGGACTTTGGAATCGGTTTTGCTCGATATATTTAATCATATATACTCGCTAACCGAAAATATATATATTTTTATAAATAATTTACACTAGCCATTTGAAAAGTTTTTACTTTTTTTAGTTGTGCGTACGTATATTTATCTTTATAGCCTGATACATGACAAAATAAATAAAAAGTTTATATCTTTTAGCATGAAAACATGAGAAGAGGTCAATTAATTGCAATGTAGTATGTGAAGTATGTAGTCCTTCCAGTTACACTGCTTAACAACTTTCTAGCTTTATATGCTTTTACTAGCATTTAACATCTTTTTTGGTTTTTCGTTTGCAGGTGTTAATTTCCATATAATCAGATTTTGAATCTTTTTTTTTTATTTGTGAAAAATTATGATGGCGTGTGGTGGTCAATACCGCGTAGAGAAGGCTGGAACAAATGCTATGCTTACGTATTTCGACAATTTGCATGTTACTGCTACATTTCTGTGCATTTCACTACTGGTAAGATGCTCTACTATACCCTGAGTTTCTCAATCAATTACGAAAAAATGAAAATATCTTGAAATTGCTATACAAACATGAAGACGAAAATATCGTGAAGTTGCTATACAAACTTCAACACATGCTCGGCAGCTCGAACCACCAGAAGTACTTAGGCCGCCAAAGGTTCCTTTAAAAAAAATAAAATAGTTTAGAATTCATTGCAATAATAAAAAAAAAATAGTATAGTAATTCATTAGGATCGTAGATTTAAATTACGGCCTCACCTCTTCATAAACCCCAATTGCATAACAGTTGGGTGTTATATATTTGCACGCTACTTTGGCTAGTCCGTGATCGGCCCAACTCTTGTCCCAGCTGTTCTGAATAATATAAAACCTTTCACCTTTATCAATAATCAAGATAATATGGCCATCATAATCTTTTGACATATTCCATTGAAATAATCAAGATAATATGGCCATCATAATCTTTTGACATATTCCATTGAAGGTATAAATTTTCTGTACAATCAAGTTAATTAGTATTCTTTTCAATTATAAACTAATTGTGTTGTACGTTAACTTGGTTGTACAGCAAAATTATACCTTCAATGGGGATATGTCAAAAGATTATGATGGCCATATTATCTTGATTATGGATACGGAATTGATAAAGGTGAAAGGTTTTATATTATTCAGAACAGCTGGGACAAGAGTTGGGCCGATCACGGACTAGCCAAAGTAGCGTGCAAATATATAACACCAACTGTTATGCAATTGGGGTTTATGAAGAGGTGAGGCCGTAATTTAAATCTACGATCCTAATGAATTACTATACTAATTTTTTTTTTATTATTGCAATGAATTCTAAACTATTTTATTTTTTTTAAAGGAACCTTTGGCGGCCTAAGTACTTCTGATGGTTCGAGCTGCCGAGCATGTGTTGAAGTTTGTATAGCAACTTCACGATATTTTCGTCTTCATGTTTGTATAGCAATTTCAAGATATTTTCATTTTTTTCGTAATTGATTGAGAAACTCAGGGTATAGTAGAGCATCTTACCAGTAGTGGAAATGTAGCAGTAACATGCAAATTGGCAAAATAGGTAAGCATAGCATTTGTTCCAGCCTTCTCTACGCGGCATTGACCACCACACACCATAGTTTTTCACAAATAAATAAAAAAAAAAGGATTCAAAATCAGATTATATGGAAATTAACACCTGCAAACGAAAAACCGAAAAAGATGTTAAATGCTAGTAAAAGCATATAAAGCTAGAAAGTTTTTAAGTAGTCTAATTGGAAGGACACACATACTACATTGCAATTAATTGACATATAAACTTTGTATTTATTTTGTAATGTATCCTATAAAAATAAATACACAGTCCGTACAACTAAAAATCAAATGTCGTTGTTTCCCCAATTTGGTTGGTGGCCAGAATTATGTGGGACCCACTTTAATCATAGTCGGAAATGACATGGACATAACGAATGATCCGGTTCAATAAATACTTATACTAACCACTTGGGGGCATAAAACCGTTGACCAGTTACAAATAGATTTCTTGATGGTGGTCTTAGAAGAAGAAGTTAAGGATTCTATTCATTGCTAAAGAAAATAATTTGTCCCTGTAATTCAACTTAAAAGAATACAACATATTATAGCAATTTTTATTTTTTATTTTTTATTTTTATGCCCACATCGAGATTCAAGGCTAACTAAGTAGAATGAACTAAGTTAGTTTCATCAAGAGTACAACTTCGATTAAGAAAAGCAAAATGAAAAATTGATTACCTATTACTATAGCAGGTCGGTCAGGTCAGTAGGAGACATGATCAACAAACTCTACATACTTATGTGAGAAGGAAACCCGAGCTTGAAAAGACCTCGTTCTCGGATCACCGAGATGCGCCAGACGTACAGGATCAGGCTCGGCGGTAAACATCAAATCCACCTTAGAGTTAGAGCCTGTCGATAAATGTCCAGTTGCACTCACCAGGACCAGCAAATTGTAAATTTCCATCTACACACACATAATAAATTAAAACAAGAGGCTCCTGTTGTTATTATTATTACTAATCATTAATTAATAGTAAATGTAAAAAGAAAAAGAAAAATTATTTTGAAGCAAAGATGGGGGAAAAATAATAAGAGATGACACACACATGGGTTTTGTTGTAGACTTCAAGAGCTAAATCGGTAGATTCGTTGAGAATATTCTTTGTTTCATCATCACAGCAGGTGGTGCAATCTGGGCCGTACAAGACAGGGCCATCTCGAAACATACCTACGGGCTCCTTCTCCTCCGAAACACTAGACATTATTGAATATAAAAATTTAGGTATGAATATGAAGAGTAGAATTTTAATTAAAAAAGAAAAAGCAAAATGAAAAAAAAGGTGATTACCTATCGATAGGGCGCAGGTGAGCGGGGTGGAGAATCTTAACAGAAATTACAAATTTATAACTCTCGTTAAGAATATGAGTAAAAGCTACAAAAGTTACGAGATTCTTATCATCGTCCCCAGGCTCAGGCTTAGCGGTAAATGTTACAATCACCTTAAGTCCTAGTCCAGTTGCACTCAGCACTTCCACAACACTGTATCTGTTGAGCTACACACACACACACACACATATATATATACATATCGATTAATAAGATAAGAAGCAATTATTGATCAATCATTGATTCGTTAATAGTAGCATTCAGACTGAACATGAAAAACAATAATTTAATATTTAAGAGAGAGAGAGAGAGAGGATAGATACATGTGTTTTGTTGTAGACATCAATAGCTAATGCCGCAGCATCTTCTGAATCTTTAATGTACAAAGGATCAATGTCGGTGCGATCTCCGTCAAACCAGACGCGAGGACCACCTCCAGGTTTGCCTTTCATGGGGATTGCCTCCGTTTTTACCTGATTCATCTTTGTTTTTCGTTTCCCATGTCTCTTCTTCTTATCGACACAGTCTTCATGCCACAATAGATTTGCCTCTCTCCCTCTCTCTCTCTCTCTCTCTCTCTCTCTCTCTCTCTCTCTCTCTCTCTCTCAACCCTAGTCGTCTCCCCAATCGTTTGGTTTGTTTGCTTTAACGTTTATATATATATAGATTTTTTTATTATCTCATCTGAGAAAGATGTAATGGGCTGGATTTCGAGAATGAGGTTGGGCTAAATTCCTCCTTTACTTACTCAAATTCTATTAATTTTAAAATATAAACAGTTTTACAATAAATATATTTATTTATTGTGATAATATTAATTAATTCAAATACATAACTATCCTTTTTTCTTTTAATAATCAAGCCCAATAACAAGCAATGCACAAAAGAACATTCTTTTTTTTTTTTTTTTTGAACCACAAAAAAGAACATTCTAAGACAAGATAAAATCGAACCAAACCAAACGAAAAATTTTCCGAGCAATGAATATGGATAACCAACATGTGCTCTTACCAAACCGGAATGTAAGATATAGTAACACAAAAAATATATATAAACTTCAAGAGATAGGAATAGTCTTAGAAACTCCGACAAGTGCATAACGAAACATAAACATATTAGCAGCACCATATATTGTTCGAAGTTTCATTCGGTATGCACATGAGAAAGAATGAAATTTGCTCGATCTAATTCTAATTTCATTCGGAATATTATAATGTAACTCGGAAATACTTTATTTACACAATTCACTTCCGTAATCACATATCAATAAGCCATTTATTACATGTGTGTCCAAACTATTAACAGTGGGAATGATGCATACAAGTTACCTATCGAAGATAAGTTATTCTGTGATTTTTGATCTGACCCCATACTTAAGGGCAAGTAAAATGCGTTCTCCAATACATACGCTTCGTGTTTTCTAGAGAATGACATTTAAATTATACACTTACATGCATTCCATTTAGTATGTATATGTATCGATAATCTAATAAAACCTCGTACTATGCTCATATATACATCATGTATCATACATATGATGAATCCTAATTACTATGCATTCTATAGCTCCACTAGCAAACCCTGCAGTACTATACTACCACGCGAGATCGACATTATATTCAATTTCCCACTACATACAGGCATTATATTTTAATCTTTGCCAATAATTAGAGTTGATAACTGTGCGCAATAATTGTTCCGGCAAAGATCAAAGAGTAGTAGAAGACAAGAAACTAGGAGGAAAAAACAATGGATTACCTCTCATCCAAAATCCATCACAATTGTCATGAAATTGTCGTACTCGGTATCTGCACTGTAGCTACTTATCTCGGAGGAGGTTTGGCAGCCACTACTGTCACGGGCAATTGATCTTCTGTCGAGTCTGTGTACGCCATTCACGCTAGCAATGCCATTGTTAGCCCGATGAACATCAGCATATATACTCGACAAATCCATAACCTTTACTCAGGCCAGAGATAACCTTAGCAATCACAATCTCGCCAAGCGGCCTCTACTATCAAACATTCATCCTCCAGAGTCGGTGGCAGTGGCAATGGCAATGTACAAGTTCGTCGGTCTCATCGAATTCCTTGGGCTTAATCTAGTGTCTCTCCCTCTATTCAAGTTCTGTATTAATTCTAACTCCCATATTATCATCATGAATATTCAAACATAGGATCTAGCTACGACTAATCTCAAGTAACCTAATATTCAAACATTGGATCTCGCGATCGAATTCAATACCTCCGGTGAAATCCTTCATGAAATCGGGCTCTTCGTCTTGGGCTCGTCGTCCGCCCATCTGGACTTCCGTCGGTCGGAGGCGGTTTCCACCTGAAACGGCGCCGCCTGCGGTTGGTGGTTTCCTCTTCTCCGCCGGAGAAATCATCGAGGGTTTCGGAGTGGGGGTTGGGGGTTGTGGCGAGAGTTAATCTGGTCAATGGGGAGTCAGTGTAGTTAGACTGGAGCGTGTCCATTGTAGAGAGAGAGAGAGAGAGAGTGGCAGAGTGAGATTTCCTTGATAAAGAGGGTTGAATATGTAATTGTGGAAAAAAGGTGGGGCGAATATGTGAGTAGGTATTAGATTTAAATTTGATTATCAATTCATATCGTTATAAAATTATTATGAAAATTAATTATAACTAGTACTTCACCCGTGCGTTGCACGGATGTCAGTTTCAAAATGAGAATAATAATAATATTTAAATTATTATCTCTTTATAACAACACCAATTCAAGTAAAACAAAATGGAAGTAAATAAAAACAATCTATATATAATATAAAAAGAGAATCTATGCCCTCAATGATTGACATGTGGCAAATGATGATGTCATTTGTCAAAATTGCTTAGTTGGAGTTCAATTGATTAGGTGGATTCTTCAATTGATTAGGTGGCATTTTTATTTATGGATGTTTTTAAGTTTTTTCCTATTTGACATGTACACAATCATTTAATAATTATCACATGTATATATATTATTTCCAAAGTTAATACTTTATAAATTCGAAATAAAAAATCTTATTTATATTTTCAGTATTTCAAAATATATTTATTCAAATAAATTCATGAAACTCAATAGTTTTACGAATATTCAAATAATTTTCATAAAAAAAATATTTTTTTAAATACTAAAATATTAAAATAAAGGAATATGTTGTTGTTGTTGTTTTTTTTGCTTTTCTTTTTTAATTTTCAATATTTTAGAATATTCGAATATTCATTCCATTAAAAATAATAATAAAAAAAAAATATTTTAGTTTTTAATTGAAGTATTTAAAAATATACACTATTTTTTATATAATTTTTATTATACCATATTTCAAATTAAAAATAATTATATTATTTAATAAATATACAATGCACGGTGGATTAATTCTAAATGCAGTAGTTGGTTGTATATTTGGAAAACACTATTTAATATATAATATGGCCCGAACTACAAACGGATTATGCATTATATTTATTAATTATTATTTCAAATAAAATATCAAATCACCATTCACCAATATAAATGAATCTTTAATATTCCAAGATTCCATCATATCATCTTTGATTGATTTAATTTATACTTTAATTCAAAATTGACTGGTAAAAAATAAAAATCGTATCTTCATATTTAATGTTTTTATATTGCAAGATTTTATTTCCACAAGTTATTATTTTTTTTTTTGGGTTGTTTCCTTTATTTGTTTGATTTGATTTCATTTACTAATATATAAATCTTTTGAATTTTTAATTTTTCCATAGAATTAAGTTCATTTTCAATACTATATAAACCCCTCAATGTTCATTTCATTTTTTTCTACCACCATTCGATTACAAAGTGCACAATGTTCGTATTATACAGTTTCATATTACATTTTTTTTTAGCATTTCTTATAAATTATTATAAGTATATATGCATAGTTTTATATTCATAATTAATTTTTTATATACATATTAGTACTATTTGTATTTCTTTCTCTTGGGTTTTAATCTTAATATACTTTTTTTTATTGTTTTCATGCAGTT